TCAGGTAACAATAGATACGTCAGTTTACTTAAGATGCCATCCATGAAGCTGTATCCGCCAAAAATAAAAAAACAAACAAACAAACCGGCGTAATGTAGCTAGGTTTGCCCTAATATCATCGATATGCAACGTTTTCGAGAAGCCATCTTGCATTTTTATTGTTCATATTCCATCGAATCTGAACGACTTGGCCATTCTTGTGCATTACTGAATTCGGAGTATATCATATCGAAGTAAGCCTTCATGAAGAGGTCTCAAGAAATAGTTTTCCCTTCCGCCGAGAGGTAAGTTAGTGAAGCTCCTCACTCCCCCTCACCCTTACTGTTTCTCTGTCTTGATGTATACTATTTTAAGCTATTTTATTGTTTTTTTAGTAAAAAAGACTCCCATCGCCCTTTAGAACAAATTGCAGCGAAGTGGATAGTTTGGCAGGGATCAAGTCATACACGAAGGATGGCTGCATCTATCAGTGTCAGTCAAATCACAGTATGGATAAATGCGGATGCCGAGGAAATTATGCTTTACCAGGTGGTATAAAATTTTAAATGTTTTTCTTTTCCTGTCAAGATATTATTAAGTTTTTATAAAAATACCTCGTCAGTAAAGCATTTATCAGTATGACATAAGACATTGTATCAAAGAATCGCTTGTTGAATCCACGAATTCGCTCGCCGTGGCTTCCTTTGCTTCGACCAACTTAATACATTTTTTGACTGTATTGTTCTCAGAATTGTCGTCAAAGATTTTCCACTTGATAAAAATGAATTGCATGGAAATTATAAAGTGCATAAGCTACTGCGCTACATGCCCTCTTCGCATTTTATGGGATTAAGCTGGTAAACCCAGGCCCATCTTGCTTTCATAAGAACGACCCGCGCGTGCCCTGGATGTATGGCGTGCAAGGTTGTTGCTATTCGGATGCACATGGAGAGCTCTACAAAAAAAAAATTAGTGAGAAATTCTTATAAGACTCTCTTCCATATATTCGCTTTCAACTCATTTTGTGCTGTGATGTAACTTATTAAGAAGGCGTTTCCTCCAGCACTACCGTAATGAATCATTCCAAAGTTGTGCCCCCTTCTTCGAATGTCCTATTGATGTTTTCGCCTAGATCTGCGGGGTTTGCTAGTGTGTTCCTTTCAAGACCGTCCATGTCTTCAAAAAGCAAAAAGTAAGGAAACGATTTTTTTAATAAATCATTTTCACTCCCCCGGTTAGCGGTTACACTCGTCTTTTGGTTCATTAATTTGGCCGCTATTTCACTAAATTTCAAGCCAATATGGCAGCCATGACATCTCGTGAAAGCGTTTTACAGAAAATCGTTATTTTTATTGTGATTCTCTACTTGAATTAGAGACGAATTTAGACTTCACTTGACACTGTTCTTGAATGAACTGGGTGATTGATTTTCTCCTATGTTCGAAGGCGTCACCTTCCTAGAGATAATTCTTCACTGGCGACGCCTATGTTAAACACCGTAGAATTTGCGATAAATTTTTCAGTGTTTGTTTATTAATGAATGACTTTCAGAGGAGTTTAACCTGACAGAATGTGACTGCAATACTGCATGCGAGCAGACGGTTTATGAATCACGTGTCTCATATTCCAAATTTCCGGACAATACGCTGTTAAGGATAATTGGACAAACTTATAACTACAGCAAGGAATACCTCAGGTAAGTGAGCCATCATATAAGTGGTCAGCTGACTTTGGATGGAGGAGGGGGGTGAAGAAGAATTCTGAAAGGAGCCAGCACTCTTGAGTGAGAATAGCGTATAAAATAAAGGCTCTGAGCAAGTTTTCAGATTCTCAATTTCTAAAGAGTCAGTAACTTACCTAGTATTTCAAACATGGTCACATCAAGAGAAATCGGGGACATTTCGAACCCGTTACGAAATGTCAGCGGTATATCGTATTGCAGACAATTCCATATGGCGGCGGAGGAAGTGAAGTGAACACGTTCTATTTTCGTAAAACCCCACCAGAGAAAGGTCTGGTACCTTTGTATCCTAGAAAGCCAAAGGAGACGTCAAAACAAGGAAAATGGCGGCCAAATTGTACAGTTACTGGGACTT